TTTTTATATTGACTTTTATTGACTCTTTGCAATTCTGATAATTAAATCCCCCCATCTCCATTCCTCTTATAGTCTCCCTGCAGGATTTCATGAACTCTGTCATATACAATAAGGTCTAATTCTTTGAAAATTTCATACATGCACGCCATGTATTATGACTATATTTGCTGTGCACACCTCCCCACAGCTCCTCTCAGAGCCACCTGTCACCCTCCTCCTGACTTCACGCCTCTTTTAAAATCCTTTTCTATTTTGTAGAGTTGCATGTGTGAGCATTGTATTTGCATTATTTCTATCACCCAGTCCCCTCCAACTCCTCCCATGTATCTCCCCCTGCTCCCCCACAACTTATAGCTGTGGGGAGAGGGAGAGTCAGTTTTCTTTAAGAGTGTGATGCTGCACAGATAACCAGCCTCCAGCGGATGGACCCTCACAGAATGACAACTGGGGACACAACTTTGACTCAATAGGCCTTAAAATACATGCATGCATGCATACATACATACATGCATACATGTATGCTATATAGGTATATATGTATAATAGAGTGTATGAAATCAGGCTGGGGGTACTAAGGAGTAATGCAGATGGGGAGGGGGTCTAAATATGATAAAAATACATTGTGTGAAATTTGCAAAGTGAAAAAAGAAAAACTTCCTATCTCTATGGACCAGCAACTCTCCACAGCTAAGCTGGTCATTAAAAAAGTTAACACAATATTAAAATTTATTTTGTAATCTAGCTTTTAAAATTATGGTGCCGTAAGATGAATTTTTGTATAATAAAAATTCTTTCACATATTTGGTGTGTTGGTCTTGATAGCCAAGGTTTTTGATCAAGTTTTTTTCTTGTCGATATTCAAGGCTTTTGACCAAGTTTTGAAGTCAGGGGTTTCATATCTGACACCAAGAGCAGGGACTTCCACTGGGAGAGGTATCAAAGTAGGTTTGATAAGGTTAGGTTTAAGCTACAATTTGGGGAAACATACAAAAAATTGGCAATATATAGAAAGGACCATCACAAATGTGGAAAAAAGCCATGATTCTAAGTTCTGATGAACCTTTCCGAGGGAATCCATTAAAGACTTGCATAAACAGGGATTTGAGGGATCATTCCCATGACTTGGCAATATGATTTCTTCCACTTTATAGTCAGAATGCCTTACCTATTCACCTATTGATCATCCAGATAGGACAAAGACTGGCCTGCAGTACAGATACTCATTACTCAGCTCTCTTGTCTGGGTCACGTGGTCCTTTCACCCACATACCCAGTATTGCATGTGACCTGTAAACAGATTCGAACTTGTAAGGGTGTCATTAGTCTATTCAATATTCGTCTCTGCACAGAAATAAACACAGATAAGGCAATAGCTTCTTTTAATGGGACTGATGCAATAGTAACTCGGGAAGCAGGGTTTTACTGGCAAATATAGGTAATTTTCAATTCTTCCTATGAATTGAAACATTGCATCATTTTGGTGTCAACGTGGTAGCTGGAAAGGGAAGTGAGAGTGAGGGAACAATTCTTAAAATAAAGGAGGCCATAACCCTACAAGCTTTCGGTCTCAGATTCCCTGAATCTCATTTTCAATTCATCTAAACGAATGCTTCTATTAACTATAGTCAAAACTATCCAATGCATTTCTAACCACAGGAACATATGATGGGATCTTGAACCTTTTACCAGGACTCAAATATTTCCTCAAACTTTTAAGCTCAGTCTATTCCCCCCTCAACACTTGTTTTAGGGACATAGAGTTCTTGCAAACGGGGAGTTCTTGTGTGAACTTCTCAGTCCCGGTGCTAGTTTGGGCTCTGTTTTCTTGAACGAGTGGAACTGGCACGGGCTGGTCCTCCCCTCCCCAGGAGCACCCTGGTTGACCCTTGATGTCCCCTGGGTGCGGGGCGGCTATTCTGCTGGCCCATCCGCAGCCGGCCATCACTCACAGTTGAGGTTTTCGAAGTCAACTAGAAACCTAGCGTTTTTGCGGAGTCCGTACACTGCACAGAACTTGGGTGGCCGAGAGTTGGATAGCGGGAAGAATAAGGGGGCCAAAGGGGCATTTTCTGGCACTTTCCACGCAGGTTACTCTCCTGCGTGCAGGAGGAAGACTGAAGCATCCTCCTCCTCCTCTAGCGATTGTACCTCAGCCTGAGATTTGGGGACCCGCTCACCTGTATTTACAAAACCCGCCGCCGCACGCCCTGCAACCACCCCGCTGCCTCGACTTCCACGGGGCGCAGCTGCTGTTGCAGCGAGCGGGACAGACCGAGGGGACACCAGCAGCCAGGCGCGGGCGCGGGACCGGGGAGCCGGGAGCGGGGAGCGCGAGCGCGGGACCAGCGCGGGACGAGCGCGGGTTCAATTAGCGAAACAAAGCAATCATGGCGGAGCGAGCACACCGGGCTGCGCGCCCCTAGGACTCGGCGACCGCCCCGCGCCCTGGCCGGTAAGTGACGCGGAGCCGCG